TCAGCTGGGCCAACTGCTGGGGGCCTAGAGGGCTTAGGGGACCCGGTCGCACAGGAGCCCCAGAAAGGAGAAGAGAAGGGGACCCACCCTTGTCACAGGCTGTCCACATGTCAGGCTCAGTGCTGGAGCCTCTCTGCGGGCAGTCTCACCAAATTCTCGAAACCAAGGTTCCTCCACTGTGGCACTACTGACATTTTCGGGGAGTTATGTCCTGTGTGTAGGATGCTGCGCAGCCATCCCCATGGCCTCTACCCACTGGATGTCAGTTACCAACCCCCAGCTCCATGTGACAACCAAAAATGTGTTCAGACATCACCAAAATGTCCCTTGATGGGCAAGATCATTCCCACTTTACAGAGGGGGGAACTGAGCACCCGAGAAAGACCGGTGACTCGCCCAAGGTTTACAGGTCGGGCCCAGGGGCGGGTAAGAGCCATGCCCAGAGCGCCAGGACAGGCTTCTTGGGAACGGGAAGGAGGGTGAGCTTGACCCTGGCTCCTATGGAAGGAAGGGCTCAGGAAAGCCGGGAGGAGTGATCAGTTATCTTCCATTGCGCAACAAATTTCCCTAAGAATGAAGGGCTTAAAGCAACAATAAACACTTATCTCTCAGATTCTGTGGATCAGGCATTGGGAGGGGCTTTAGCTGGGTGGTTCTGGCTCAGGATCTCTCTCTGGAGGCAGCAGTCCGTTGTCGGAGGGAGGATGTGCTCCCAAGGCCGCTCCTCGCCTGGGTTTGGAGAGCTGGTGCAGGCGGTGGCTGGAGGCCTCAGCTCCTTGCCACACCGGCCACACCGGCCACTCCGCGGGGCTGTGCGAGCGTCCTTGTTGCACGGCGGCCGGCCTCGCCACGGTGAGCGGCTGTAGAGGAAGCCACAGTGTCTTTTAGGACCCAGCTGGGAAACCACTCAGCAGCATTTCTGCAACCCCCTGTGGGCTCCCAGGTCAGTCCTGTTTAGAGTGGGAGGGTGCTGTCCAGGACGTGAGCACAGGAGGTGAGGATCTTGGGGGCGGGGAGCATCTCGGGAAAGGGTTATAACAAGCAGGAGAGGCATCCAGATGGGGAGACTGTGCGCGAGGGGGTGTGTCTGGGGAGGAGAGAGAGGTGCCTGGTTCATGTGAGTGACCACATGGCATAAAAGGGATGAGGTAAAGAATGGCCAGGCGGTGGGGGGAACTCGACGGCCAGGCAGAGGTTTGGGTTCGATCCTGTGGGACAGAGTGCCCCACAGACCTGTGCTCCCCAAGTGGCACCACTGGGAGCTGTGGGGTTATTGGGGGGTGTCTCAGTTTCCCCCTCAACAAAATGGCAGGGTTGCAAGGGTCGGTTGCAGGAGGAAGAACCGGATGTATAGAGGTGTATGGTTCGCTCTGGGCCATGTGTGGCTCTACGCCATGGTGTCCCTCGCCAGACCCATCAGAGGTCGGGGGGCCTGGGGCCCAGCTGCTGAGTCAGTGGTTCAGTGTGGCGCGGGAGGGGCCGAGTGGGTGGGGAAGTGGGCCTGCGTCCTGCCACCTCCTCTGCTGGGGCTTGCGGGTCCACATCTTAGATGGTCTCCAACCAGCGCGTCCTTCCAAGAGGTGGCCGGGAACTGGGGGCCGCTGCTCAACCCTACCCTCTCCCTCCCTGCAGCCGATGACCCCTCTTCCCACTGCCTTTGGGGGTGCAACAGTGTCCAGATTCCCACAGCTCCGGCACCCGGATGGACGGCGGACTTGGGGAGCTTTGGAGCGGATGCACGTCCAGGAGGAGCCGTGTCAGACCCCAGACGTTTGCTCAGCAGGAAATATCACAGGGGAGACGGGCTGCCCTTGTGAGGGTTATCTTAATCCCCAGCTTCCTTTGCTGCTCCTCCTAGCGTCCCTCCTGCTCCCGAAACAAAGCTCAGAGTAAAAAAAACCAGAGATTTTAGGAGCCGGAAGCACCCTGGGTCTCATAGACTTTCCATTGTGCCTGATGGAGGGGCAACCATCCTCTGGGCCTTATGTAACGCGGCTTGCGGGGGGCGCCCCAGTTGCCCCACACCTGCGGCCACAGAGCAGCCACGTCGGTGGGCCGGTTCCCTGGAAACATCAGACGCATCATCCAGGCTTAGCCAGACCCATGTGTAACTTCAGATTTCCTGGGAGAGAAACGGAAATGAGGTGGGGGCTCTGGCAGGGAGGGTCAGGGAGTGTGGAAGCAAAATACCTCTCGGCAGGCGCGCTCACCGTGACGGCCAGGTTTCCCGACAACGACGGGGCCTCTTGTCTCAGCAAGGGTTTTGGGCACCCCTGTGGCCTTCCGGCGGCATCAGCCCACAGTCCCACATGCATCTGAGAGAGGGATCAGCACATGATGGCAGCACTGGCCCTCAAGGTCTGCAGGGTGTGGCCCGCACACGGAGGACTGTGATTAGGGGGTGTCCAAGCCCACGGGCTGGAAGGTGAGGATGGGCGCTTCCTCCAAGGGCAGTGACTCAGCTCAGCTGACGCAGCGCCCTCAGGTCAATGGCACTGAAGGAGCTGGGGAGCTGGGTCAGGCTCTATCAAGGTCATGTAGGGGCAGAACGGGCATTTGTGAGGATGGATTTAGGAGAAAACTTAAGGCAACCTTACAACCGTCTTTGGACAAGTTGGCAGAGCAGAAACCAGTGAGAGAATTTGGAAACCCCGCTGTGGGTTCAGATTCCCTTCCCTTGTCAAACAGACCTGCCTGCCCCCCAGGAATAAATGCAAGACCGTCTGCAAAGCGTTGAGCTTTGACCTCGGTTGGGAATGTGTGCATCAGATGCTCTGGGGCTCTACATCTGCAAGTGATCACAAAGGGGCTACAGGTATTGATTTTGGAGGTAGAAGTTTTAGCAAGCAGGTGAAGTTGCAAATATGGCATCCACCAGTAATGAGGGCAGATAGTCTCTCTGCCTTGAAGAAGAAGGCGTGCTTGAAAACCAGCCCTGGAAAGGGAGGTCAGTGGGGGGGGGCCTCTCTCAGAAGGCGGAATTAAAGCCAAAACCTGAAGGTCGAGGAGGAGACAGCCCATGAGAGCTGTGTGAAGGTCAGCACGGTGTCCTTTCTCAAGGTCAAGTTCGGAGCGGTCACTGTTTTCCATTCTGCAGAATCATGGGGCCAGCAGGTCTTATCTCTGCCTTTTATTTAGAGCTTGCCAGTGGCCTGTATTTTCTCTTTTTGTAGCTTCTTTTAGATTGTTTATTTTTCTTCTCATTTGAGTCTCTCCTCCTCTACTACTTTGGACCTCAGATACTCAATCTCTGTTCTTTTAGTGGTGACCCTAGAGACTTTTACCAGGCGTCATAAATTTTTACACGCTTACCTTAATCTGTATTTTATACTCCTTCCAAAGACGGGAGGCTTTAGAATATGTTATCTCTCCTCTGACTGATATGCAATTGTGTCACATATTTTACTTCTAATTTTAACCTCCCCAACTTAGACCTGATTTTTCTTGTTTTATGCGGTCAGTGTTTGTTTATACTTATCCAAATGTTCCCTATGCCCTTTGTTCACGGTTTTTCTTGCATCTTGCGTTTTCCTTCTGCGGTTATTTCTCTTTGGCCTGAAATGTATTTTTTGGTATTGTCTTTACTGGCAGTCTATTAGTGGCAAACGTCTTAATTTTTACTTGCCTAAAAGTAAATGGATCAATCTTTTCTTTTACGGTTGGTACTTTTGTGTATTGTTAAGATGGACCTATTCTGAGGCTCCGTCCGCATCAGTCTATATTGTCCTCTGAAAGTTTTATGGTTTTGCCTTTCGCATTGGATTGTTCAACCACCTGGAGCTGATTTTCATGTGAGGCGTGAGGTAGGGGGTCGTCAGTGTTCTCCACCAAGTATTTTGGGTTCTAAATACTTTGGGCACGCAGTAGGATGGCAACTCTCCACCAAGATCTGTATCCATTACCTACGCTACATAACAAATCACCACTAACCGACACGGCGGCTTAAAGTGATATCCATTGATTAGCTCACAGTTCATTAGGGCAGAGGTCCAGGTGGGCCTGACAGTTCTCTGCTCAGGATCTCACAAGAGACCAGGGTTAAGGTCTTACTGGGAGGCTCTGGGGGAGGAATCCACTTCAAAGTTCACTCGTGCTCTTGGCTCCTGGAGACCACCCTCAGGTTCTAGCCATGAGGACCCTCTTCCCACAACATGGCAGGTTACTTCTTCAAAGCTGGGCAGGAGAGTCTTACTCCTCTCTGCTACGACAGACGCTTCGATGTGTAACCTGCCTGTGGGAGTGACGTGCCATTGCACTTGTGTTAACCACAAACACATGACTTGCTTTGGCCAATGGTGTGTGAGCAGCCGTGGGCGTGGCACCTCGTGAGAAGCTTGAAGAGCTGTCTGTGACTTGTCACGTGATCTTCCCTCCTCTCTAATGGGAGGGAGTAGTGACAGCATTGTGTCTTTGCTCTCAATCTTTTGTGTGTTTAATTTCTCTTGCCTTTCTGTCCTTGGTAGGGTCTTTGGTATCGTTGACACATTTGACGTATTTGGGTTTAGAACTTACGTTTCTCGAAAGACCATCTGCAGACTGAGGAGATATTGTAACATGCAGAATCGACAGGGAATCAGTATGAAGAGGATGGATGTTTTCATACGGGTTTTGTTGTTATTAAGGTATGGCAAGGTCGACAGATCTGGAGGCGGGAGCCCACCGTGCCGTGGGGGCCTTGCAGGGAAGCACCAGGGTTGGCCAGGAGGAAAGGGAGCTTCGGTGGCTGGGGTGACATGAGGGCAAGAGTCTCTCCTGCAGTTTCTGTGAAAAAGCACAAGTGAGGTAAGGCAGGCAGGCTGAGGATTGGCTAGTTGGAATCATTTCGGCAGACTCTGGGGGCACCGAGGCTGTCCCTGGTCGTGTGGCACCTGCCCTGGGGTGATAAGACCAAGGGACCATAGGCTGTCCCTGGTCGTGTGGCACCTGCCCTGGGGTGATAAGACCAAGGGACCATAGCTCAGAGTGTGGGAGCCCCGATAAAGAGGGTGGTTGGGGTTTAGGCTCTGCAAGGCTGGTTTGTATTTGAGAGGCGTGCTCCTGGGCGAGCCGTTTGCCGTCTCTAGGAGTGGGCTGAGCCAGGCAGGGGCCCAGAACGCAGAAAATAAGATACATGGTTAAATCAATGAAGAATGCCTAAAAACCAATAAGAAACAGCCCACTGGCCAGAGACTCAGCTACAACTTCCTAGGAGAGGAAACCCAACACGGGGAATAAGAACAGAACTACAAGACACTGTCTCTGGTCGGCTGGATTGGCAAACATCAGAAAGTCAGCATTGCCGAGGATGGGAAGAACCCGAGCTCCTGCTCACCACTGTCTGAACGGTCACTCAGTGCCACCACCTTGGAAAATAAATCAGCATTTTTCTTGTAAAGTTAAAGATATGTGTTCCCTTCAACCAAGCACACGCACTCACAGGTAAATTCCCAAAACCCTAGTGTGTGTCTGTACACATTTGTGGTTGGACATGCAGTTTTAGGTGCCTGTTTTATTCCAACAGCTACGACACACGAAGGCGCCGTGTTCTGCCTTCCCATTGCTGTTGAGGGGCCCGCGGAGGGCCCGTCTGTCACCTGGACTTCAGTGCTGCCTTGCTCCCCGGCTGCTTCCAAGATACTCTCCTCGGCCATAACCATTCCTGATGCTCCGTAATTGATAATTTGGATTCTTGAAACCATGAGCCACACTAATGGCTGAAGCTGCTCACATTCGCCCCATCTTCGTGTTTTCACGGGCGTGTGAGCATCACATCGCAAACCTCCACAAACCCCAGCGCCTGCCTTTTTTTGCTTTCTACGGCATAGGGGACAGCACAGCAAATGACCTCTGGTCACTGTGGTGACGAGGACTCCCGCCCCGGCTTCTGCTGCTTCTGACCGGCCCCGGGGCCCGCCTGTGTGGCCCTGCGAGGCAACCGCACCTCATACGTCTTCTTTCAAGGCGGGGGTCTCTGTGTCTGTCATCTTAACATGCCCGATTAAAGCAAAATCCGGGTATGTTTTAATTCACTTGGCTGACGTTGGACTCTTTGGGATGTCTGGATCTGTGCACGGGTGTCTTTTATCAGCTGTGAAGAATGCTCCGTTCCTTTCCCCTCGTCTGCGGGCCTTTGCCCTCTCTGCCCTCTCCTCTGGGCTGCTGTGACCGTGAGTCCTACCATCCTGGGGCAGGCCCACGCGCAGCGGGGTAAGCCAGGGGCAGAAGAAGATGGGGCCCTGTAGGCTTGCTGACAGGTGCCGGGGCATTTTCCGTGAGCGAGCCGTAGCCTGGGGGCAGGCCTGGGCTAGCCTGCACTACCCTGCACTGATCACTGACTGCCAGCACCCACTGGTGACAGTGGGGACTCCAGGAGGCGTGTGGACACAAGCCCCTTGGGGTGGTTATGGGAGTATGGCATTTCTGAGGGGCAGGGCATTCGTGGGTGACACACATTTTAGTGGCGATGGGCCCCTTCTTGCGGCTCAGTCCAACTTGGAGAGCCCACAGTGTCCTCACGCCTGTCGCTCCCTGGCCTGTTCCGAGGGCCTTGCCAGGGTCTCCCCGATACTCCTTTTTAATTGAAAAATTAATAAGAGAAACAGAATCGAGGCCTAGTCACGCCTGGGAAACTGCTGAGATCTCCCTGCCCCCACTCACCACATTTCTTTTATCTTCCACAAAAAAAAAAAAAAGAAAAGAAAAGTAATACCATTAGGTCATCTCCTTTTTTTTTTTTTTTTCTATTTCTGGGAAAATCTTTATTTTGTGTATTTCTCAGGCCTCTTGACATGCTGTCTCAGACTAACGGAGGATCACTTCCTTCCAGTTCCCCTCAAAATGCCTGCTGGTTTTATCTTGCAAACGCCTCAGAACTGCAGAGCAAACCCCCTCCCTCTGTGTCCCCCCTCCCGCCTCCTTGTGAAGAAGAAAGGGCCCCTGGCTCTCTGAGGTCTTTAGGCAAAGCAGATACATCCCCACAGAGCCTTCAAAGGTGCCTCCTCCAAAGCTGCAAAACTGCCCGTTAACTCTTTCAAAGAGCTTTAGTCGGCGTGTGAAAGCTGTCTGGGTTCATTGATTAAAAAAAAAAAAAAAAAGAAAGAAAGAAAGAAAGAAAAAACCGGTATTGTTTTTAGCACTGTTGACGATATTAGTGAATCGTATCAGAGGACAGTGAGTCTTTGCAAGGGGCTGTGGTTACCTTTCACCTACTTGTTGCCTTAAACCACGAAATAATGTGGGAGTAAAGATGCCCCCGCCACAACAAGGCGTCCCCAGAGAGGCCGGCAGGATGCCTCTCCCTCCCACACCCCAAAGAGTTAAGCAGAAATGGTTAATATTCCTCCCTTCGGCCCCCACGTCCCGTATTCTAATGTATGAACTCTCTCATTCAGATGTGAGCGAGCCGCACATGCTTGCCGGGCTTGGCGACAGACCCCTCGCCTCCCCTGCACGACACGTATGGTCTCCGCTGAAACGCGCTTCAAAGCACAATTTTTTGAGCACGTATTGCTCACCTACACCATAGGCCCCCACCGTGCACGCACGCATGTGCAGCCCCACGTTCCGAGTGGGGTTCCCTTTGTCCCTTTTCGTCCGAGGGCTCAGCCCGAGGTGAGAAAGAGGGAGCAAGGTTATTAAGAATTCTGACAAGGTAGGCTGAATAAATTGTGTTTTCTTTGTGCGCCTTAATCCGGTGTTGTATTGGCTTCTCGGACATGGCTAATTTATTTGGAATTTCATTCTGTTCCTGACAGCGTCCTTGACTAGCTGTTTGATCACCTCGAGCAAAGTTACATACCAGCTTTCAACTGTTGGAAGGGCAGCGGTGTAATTTTTCTCAAGTGCATTCTCCTGGGTCCGGCTTTATGCTCGCAGCAGAATGTTTCAGATGGCTGGGGCCATCCCTTGTCAGGGGGGAGAAGCCGGCCGGCGCAGGGGTCTCCCTCGGGGAGGAAGCTCTCCACTTTCCACTTTTCCCCACTTGTCCCACTGTTGGGGATTTTAATCTGCTTTTGTGGGGCAGGAAGAAAGAAAATTAATTTTCACCCGTCTGTGCTTAGGGAGCACTTTAGTGGAAACCCAGTGTGAAATGCACGTTCTGTTGACTTCAGCACCGCCCCCCCCCCCCCCCCCCCCCGGCCCCCGGCACGCAGGCTGCGTTTTGAGCTGCAATATTCTCAGGGGAAGAGGTAATTCAGCCACAAAACTTCCGAGGGTGATAACCCCTGGTCTACACCACTCCTCATTTCTCCAGCAACTTACGCCTTTCTTGGCAGAAAGAGGAGTTGACCTTCATTCTCTCTTAACTCATATCCCTGTAATGTTGGCTTGTTTATTTTTTGTAATAGCAAGCATGTCTGCTTATAGAAGAAGAAAAAATAATGATGATTTTCATTACGCCTCCAACACCTCTGAGCACCTCACTCTTAGCACAATTGTGGCTGGTAGTTTTATAATTTGGGCAGAATCCAGTCTAATGGAAACACATGCTTCCTTTACTTTGGGCTCTTGATCCCGATGCACGCACCTTCCTACCAAGTGCCTTCTAGGTGCCTGGAATGGTGCTAAGCCCCTGGGGATCTGGTGAGAGCTCACATGCTAGACACACATCAGAGATTTGAGAGACGTCAGTGCCACGATGAAAGCGAAAAACAAACCAACCAACCAACCAAAAACCAGGGCGATAGGCTAGATGGATCCTGAGTGAGAGGATACCACTTCCCTCACCGACTCCTGCCCCGGGTTCACCCAAATTCACGGTGATCCTGAGCGGAATTCTGGGGCCTACTTTTGGCCTTTGAGTTTGTCCTGACCTGCAGGGGAGCTGGGCATTCACCACCCCCTCTAGTTGGTCCTGGGCAGGAAAGCCCCCAGGGTGTTCCCGGGCTCCGCGCTGGGCAGCCCCCACAGCCGAGCATATCCCCTGGAAGAGACTTGTGTTTGGAGCAAATGGACATTGAAGCCAGGGGTCGGGGGCACAGAGATGGGTAAAGGTTCCCAGGCACCAGGGTGCAGCCCCGACCATGCTCCAAGCCCATCGTCACTGAGAATTGTGAAATGATTAGGATGGGGAGCACATAATGTCTGCACCGTGGGGGGTGGTGGGAACTGAGCGGGCTTGTCTGCTGCGCTGTCTCAACACCGAATTATTTTCTCCTTGTGGGTGATGGCCACCTTACCCATCTAAGGTCTGCTGCACCTGCACATCAGGTAGATCCTTCTCAGGAGAAGTCAGCCCTGGGCACAGCTGTGACATTGTCCAGGGGATGGGGGCATTCACTTCCTCTCCTGAAGGGCGTGCTGACCTCAGCCTCACCGACTCTGGGGCCCGGGGACCTCTGTGCAGGAGCGGGGAGGCCTCCGTGATCCTAAGGAGTCTGGGTGCATGGGTGCCACGTGACCAGGGCGCTGTTGACTTTGCGTGTCCCATGGTGCACTTGGCAATCAGAGAAATTTACCCAAGGCCACCTTGTCCCCATCTGCTGGGTGGGGAGCCGCAGAGCAGGAGGTGGAGGACGGGGCTCTGCCTGGCGTGTCCTCGCCCCTCCGGCTGGCCCAGGATGCCCACCTGGAGAGGCTGACCACACAGGTAAGCAAAGTGCCCACTCAGGAACCAACCTCTTTTCCCTCCCCAAGTTCGTGGCTCCTTTCCCCTGGGACCTCGCTCCAGATGCAGATGGGTGTGTCCGGGAAGGCACCTCCCGTACACCTTGGAGGACTTCTCTGCAACACTCTGGAAGCCCTTATCAAGCAGCCACATCTTCAAGAATGCTCTATGTGATTACTGCTTCCACATTGGGCTCCCACTAAGTTCTCATGTGAGTTTGAAGTGATCTTCAAACCTCTGCACAAAGTATATAAGGCCAGAGCTTAATGTCACCTTTAAGAGTCATGGTCAGCAAATGCACTGGGTCACCTGGCCGGATCCACTGGCTGGCAGCTCTCTGCATGGACAGAGGCAGAAAAAGGCATTTGCCACCCAGAGAGCAAAGAAGGGCTCGTTGCACTTTCAGTCGGGGTGATAGCTGAGCTAACAGGGGTGAGTGTTGATGGAGGGATGCCGGCAGGGCTCATTGTGGGTCTGGTCCATGGTGAGCATCCAGCACACATTCACTGGGATTATCATTATGAAAATCACAAGTGAGTGCTCCCACCCTACCGCTCTGCCCATCTTAGGTTGTGCTCCTTGTCAAAGCCTTTGCATTTACTCCTTACATAGAACCTTCTGGAAAGGCTGAGCAGGAGCACATTCTCATTTTGTAGGTAAAGAAGAAATTCAGGAACTGGCTTCAGGTGGCCCGCACTCCTGGAGGCCCCTGAGCCTTCTCTCTGGTGAGGTACCTGCGGCTGGGCCATTTCCCAGGTGAGGACGGGCTTGGATCCCCAGGGCCAGACTTTCAGAGACCTTGGTTCCTCCCTGCCGGGCCCTCTGAACTCCAACTGGGGCTCCTTTGTGTTTTGAGGCTATAGGGTTGGAGTTGGAGGACGTGACCAAACTGTCTCTTCTCCCAGGAAAGCTTGGCTGGGTAAGGCCAGATGTGGGGAGGTGGGCAGAGGCCGCGGAGGTGTGCTCGGGTGTGCACATCTGGGCTCCAGCGTGCATGTGTGTCTGTGTATGCGAGCGTGCATGCCTGGGTGTGGGTGTGAGAGTGTGTGTGTGGCAGACAGAGAAGGACGAGCGGATGCTGTCATTTCAGAAACGGCGTGGGGACATTTCTCAGGACGTCCTCTCTGGCGGCAGGGGGATAGTCGACGACCCCGCGCCCGCGCCCCGCGCCCACGCTGCTCCCTGGATCCGCGCGCGGCCCTTCTGCTCAGACCGCAGCCCTCCGCCTCGCTTTCCCGTGAGGGGTCTGTGCCCAGAGAGGTGGAGGCCCCGGCCCCGCGTCGCCTGCGAGCGCAGGCCGAGGGTCACCGCGAGGGCGACAGGGGACCCCGCGGGGCCGGGCCCTGCTGGTGAGCGCGCAGGTCTCCCCGGGCGCGGGCCCCGGCGGGCTCGTCTCCGCCGCTGCTCGCCTCCCTCTCCCCG